ATTCATTACGTTCCGATCGTAATTTATTGCATTATGTCGTTGAGCAAATCGAAAATAAAAAATCAGATGTGTTACGACTAAAGCGTGACCTGGAAAGCGTTTATCAGGCTGCTAGACATAGGTTATAGAATTCCTATAAAACAAACATAAATAACAGTTTAATCACATCCCTTATTTTGTAATTTTCTTTTTTCTATTAATCAAATAATCAATTAAATTATAAAAGAAATCATTTTAAATTATTAATTCTTTCATTTCATATTAATTTTTCATTATTATTTTTAATTCCCACAAAACAAATATAAAAAGATATGCATTTGAAAATAATAATTCGAAAGATTTTTTCTTGTCTATTTATTTTTTTAAAACAAAGCTTCCATTTGACTGATTAATATTTAACTCCAAACAGACAGATATTTAACAATATGATATAACTAAAGCCCAATATTGCCAAACAACCATAATCATTACTCAAAGAGATGAGAGAATACTAAATCTTATGCGGAAGATTTGAAATACATGCGAAATTTTAGTAATGATAAATTTATGTGTCATAAAAAATTAAAACAAAATATTTTCAATAAAACAAAAGAAAGTAATTTTCAAATAAATCAAAATGACAGATAAAAAAAAATGGTTGCATTTTTTTCAACAAAAGTTGTAAAATTTTGATTCGAAAAATTTCTTCCACATTTTTTTAATTATATAAAGATCATTTTTTATACTTGCATTTGTTTGATATATTTAATGAAATGATGATAATGATGGTAATGATCACATGATAAGGATATGATCATTGTCATCATTGAATTATTAAATTGAGCATTCATCATTATCATCATTCAATCACTTAACTGAGCATTCATCATTATCATCATTGAATCATTAAATTGATCATTCATCATTATCATCATTGAACCATTTAATTGAGCAGCCATCATTATCAATGATCGCATGATAGAGATGTGACCATTATCATCATCATCATTGAATCATTAAATTAAGCATTTATCATTAATCATCATTGAATCATTTAATTCAGCATAAAAACTGTTCGGTAATTTTTGCATCAATTAGTTTATTTTTTAAAATAAACATTAATAAATTAGCTAATGAAATTTCAAACTATCAATCAATATTTTACATGTTATAGATTTGCAATGTATGCTACAAATTCGTAGTTTACGACGATAAAATTTATGGTACAAATCAATACATTCCATTTAATTCTCACTTGAAATCGAAATACTTTAGACTATAAAATTGCTATATTCATAAATGATAATTTGAAAATCAATAAAATAATTTGCAATATAATTTTGGACATTTAAATATAAAAATTTTATAAATTTTTTCTTTTGCTAATTTTACTAAGAAAAAAGTCAAAATGAAAATTTACTAATCGCTTTCCTATTTTTGAAATTTATTTTGGAAAAAATTTTTTATTTGCATTGCAAAAATATTGAAATAATATGCAACATAATAATAATAATAATAACAATAATAATAATAATAATGGTAATAATAATAATAATAATAATATTATAATAATAATAATAGGCAGTAGAAAAAAAATCAACCTTATCCGCGTCACCGCCTCCTCGGTCTTCGCGTTTCCCACCAAAACCAGACTGCTGTTGCCCCATTTCTGAA